CATTTTATATTTCTCCCTATCTGAAGGGGGGATATACTTCTCCCCTTCTATAGGGGGGATGCGCTCTCCCTTCCCATATAGGGGCAGGTACGTTTAAAGTTAGTCTTTAGATCTAAGAAAGTCGTATATCTCCCCTCCGCAGCATGGGCTGCGTCGACGTATCCTCCCATTAGGAAAACCGGCGCTACTATTTTCGCCGGGAGGACATAAACTGCTCTGCTTCATATAACTCTCGTATTTCTGAAGCAGAGCGTTGAAAACTGGTTCCACGCGGAAGCAATGTAGAAACCAGGTTGGAGCCAAAGCCCCGGGCGCCAAGTATTTGTTCGTCATGGTCAATGAGCAAGGCATCAATGGGATGATTATGACACAGCATCCTGTGTGATTCGGATTCTCTTGATTTAGTCTGAGCGTTGGCGCTGATGAGCCAAACTCTGGAGCTTCCAGAGCTACGCGAGCGTCGCGAGCTAATGGAAAATGTGGTCTGAACGGAGTTGTTGGCTGCGGAACGCCGGCTGCGAGTCGCAAGCTTGAGGAATGGCGTTAGCGACATCCCCAAAAGAAGAGCGGTACAAAACGAGAACATCTTTTTGCGATTCTCGCTCGCTATTTATGATAGACTTGGGCGCTAAAAAAGGCGCACAACAGTACTGCGCACTGGCACTGCACGCGAGCTTAGAACAACAATAACAGCCGCCTCACCGCCAATCGCCAAATGTTCCGTTTTCAAATTAATTATCCGATCTATTTAGTTTTTGCTTTTTTGGTAGCAGGCTCGTCGTCAGCCAGTCCGTCAGCGCTCTTGAAGACTTTCATCCGCCACTCACGCAGCCTCTTCTTCTTGGCGTATTTCCGCTTGTCCTTAAGTTTCAGCTCCTTCGGTCTGTACGGAGCAAGCTTCTTGAGTCCTATAAGCTCGTTCAGGTCCTTATCATCAGCAACGAGTATTTCTCTAGTAGTGAGTCCGAACGACTCCGGAGAAACCTCACGGTACCTGAACTTGATTTCCTCTCTATCCTTGCCCCTACCACGCTCTTCTTCGACTTCCTCGAGAAGCTTGGGCGTGTTGGCGCTCACTAGCTTCTCGGCCACCTCCTTCAGTTTCTGCCTTTCCTTCTTCTTGCCGAGTTTTTCTTCCTTCTTCTTCGACTTCTTGGATTTGTTATCCTTTGGCTCTTCTTCCTCCTTCGCCTCCTCTTTCTCCGCCTCTTCGTCTTCTTCGATGTCTTCCTCCTCTTCGCTCAACTCCACTTCGGGCTTCTCCGGCTTGCCCTCTTCGTCATAGAAGGCCTCGTTGAAAATCTCCGCCATTTTGCTGTCCCACTCGGCATCGTCAAAGTCGTCGTTCAACAAACTGTCGCCAAACACACGCGCTATAGTTTCCTCAGAAACCTGACCGCCAACCGCCTCCTTGATCTCCTTCAGACGGTCCAGAACTTGAATGGCTTTCTTCTGTTTTTTCTTGCGCAAGAGCTCCTGTTTCTCTTCCTCCTCCCTCAGCTGCTCCTCCTTTTTCTTTAACCTCTGCTTCTTTCTGCTGTTCATCTTTTCTCGCCGCATAGTAGCCTGCGATCTGGCGTACGAGATGATTTCGGCAGCATTAGGGTCCTCGAAACGGAAATTGTAAGCGTTTTCGAACTTCTCGGCCGCCTCGTCAAACTCGTCGTCATCTTCTTCCATCTCCGGTCTCGTCTCGTCCTGCTCTGGAATCCATGCTTCTTTCTCCAAAAACGCTTCCAAGAACTTCTCTCCGTCCTGCTCTGGGTCCGGAAGCGACTTGGCAGGCTTAATCTCGCGCTGGACCTCTTTTTTCTGCAAAAAATCGTCGCCCTCCTCGTCGCTGAACGCAGACTGGATCTCAGAAAGCAGCTTGCTCTTGTCTTCCTGCTGTTGAACTGCATACGGCTTCTCGCCCTCCTTCCACTCGCGCTCTTCGCCGTCGTCGTCTTCAAAGGCGTGGCCGTCCAACAGAACTTTTCTGTGGTAATCTTTTAAGTACATGGGCTTCTCTTTTTTGGTGACAGGAACCTCTGCTTCCTCTGGATCTTTGAAAAACTTCACATTCTTATCAAACAGAGCCTTGTCTCCGGTCTTGATTGCCTGCAGCACTTTCTGGAACCCCTCCTCAACGTCCTCGGTCAAGAGATCACCGTACTGGTCTTCTTCCTCCGAGCTCTCGTCCTCGTCTTCCACCTCTTCGTCCGCGGTCTCGTTCTCCACTGGCTCGGGTTTTGGTTCTTCTGAGATTACGTCTTTCTCCTTCGCAACCGGCCCAGACGCTGGTTGCTGCGGGTTGGCCTCTCGGGCTCTTTTGGCAGCAGACTTTTTTCTGGCCATATTGATTTTATTTGATACTTTTTTTTAAAAAAAATATTTTCCTATAATTAAAACAGTATACTACCTAAGTGCCCTAGAAAGACCACAGTAAACGGGTACCATCCGGCTTCTCTCTCTCTCTCTCTGCTTCTCCTCTCCCCCATCTCTTCAGGCTTCTCTCCCCACTGAACGCTCATTTCTCAGTCTGCCTGTCTGGCTACGCAAACGTCTTCTTCACACCCCCCACCACATGCACCCTTTTTCCCAAAACAGAAACGTAATTACGCGAACGCGAAGGTTTCAAACTTTACCTTCAATTCTTTTTCGATCCTAATGACAACTATCGCGTCCTCACCGCTGCCGTCGTCCCAGGCGTTCCGGACCCAGAGCACCAATCCCCTCAGCGAGTCGCAGCCTCACCTGCCCAGCGATTCGAGAAGACAGGCTGCTGAGGAGGAAATGGAGACCGACGAGCCCACAGCCAGTTTTCTTAGAAGAAGAAGAGATCTGAGCTCGATTCCCAAAGTAACCGACCTGACGGCGGAGAAAGTGAAGGAGGCGTTCGAACAGTTTCTGGTCGACTTCACCGACGAGAAGAGTGCGGACGAGCCAGAGTTCCACGGCAAAGTGTACATTGCCCAAATCGCCGCGATGGCCCACTACGACCTGTGCACGATATATATTGACTACCAGCACCTGCTGACCGTTGAGAACGGGATTTTGGCGAGCGCCATCACCGAGCAGTACTACCGGTTCATTCCGTACCTGATTAACGGTCTGCGCACGGTGATCAAACGGTTCCAGCCTGCTCTTCTCAGACGGTCGACCAAGCTTGCCGATGACGACGAAACAGGCGTCACAGAGCGCATTTTCCAGATCTCGTTCTACAATCTGCCCACCATCAACAGGATCCGCGAGCTCAGAGCAGAAAACATTGGCATGCTCATGTCCATTTCCGGTACCGTCACGCGGACCAGCGAGGTGAGGCCGGAGCTGTACAAGGCGTGCTTCACATGCGACGTGTGCAAAACGCTGATTGAAAACGTTGAGCAGGCGTTCAAATACACCGAGCCAAGCAGCTGCTCAAACCCGACGTGCGAGAACCACGCCTCCTGGACGCTCAACATCGCCAAATCGACGTTTTTGGACTGGCAGAAAGTCCGCATCCAGGAGAACGCCAACGAGATCCCAACGGGGTCGATGCCAAGAACGTTGGACGTGATTTTGCGCGGAGAGCTCGTGGAAAGAGCCAAGCCGGGCGATAAGTGCAGATTCACGGGGACCGAGGTGGTCGTCCCGGACGTGACGCAACTGGGTCTTCCTGGCGTGAAGCCGATGTCGGTGCGGTCACGTGGCACAGGGTCCGCCGCGGAAGTGCTCAACTCCGGCATTACTGGGCTGAAAGCCCTTGGAGCCAGAGACCTGACGTACAAAATAGCGTTTTTCGCGTCTCACGTGTGTTCTCTCGTTGCTAAGGACGCCAACGGCGAGCCCGACGACCTGGAAACCGCCGATGACACAGAGAAGCAACAGGAGATGTTCCTGAACACGTTGACGGAACAAGAGGTCAACGAGCTCAAGGACATGGTTTCGGACGACCATATCTACGCTAAGCTTGTGTCGTCGATTGCGCCTGCGGTTTACGGCCACGAGGTGGTGAAGAAGGGTGTTCTTTTACAGCTTCTTGGCGGTGTGCACAAAAAAACAGTGGATGGTATCAACTTAAGAGGAGACATCAACGTTTGCATTGTTGGCGACCCGTCTACGTCCAAGTCTCAGTTTTTAAAATATGTCAACAGTTTTGCTCCCAGAGCCGTCTACACGTCCGGAAAGGCTTCGTCTGCTGCAGGTCTGACGGCCGCAGTTATCAGAGACGAGGAAAGCGGAGAGCTGACCATTGAGGCGGGCGCATTGATGCTGGCCGATAACGGTATTTGCTGTATCGACGAGTTCGACAAGATGGATCTGGTGGACCAGGTGGCCATCCACGAGGCCATGGAGCAGCAGACCATTTCCATCACCAAGGCCGGTATCCAGGCTACACTGAATGCCAGGACCTCTATTCTTGCTGCTGCCAATCCTATTGGCGGCCGGTACAATCCCAAAGTGGGTCTGAAGAGCAATCTGGCCATGACTGCTCCGATCATGTCGAGATTTGATCTTTTTTTCGTTGTCCTGGACGAGTGCAACGAAAAGGTCGACACGCAGCTCGCTGACCACATTGTCAACCTCCACATGCTCAGAGATGACGCCATTGATCCGCCTTTCTCCAAAGAGCAGCTGCTCAGATACATCAAATATGCGCGCACGTTCAAGCCCAAGATGACCAAGGAGGCTAGAGACTATCTCGTCGAGAGATACAAGGAGCTGCGCAGCGACGACTCGCAAGGACTGGGCCGCAGCAGCTACAGAATCACCGTGCGACAGCTGGAAAGTATGATCCGGCTGTCTGAAGCCATAGCCAGAGCCAACTGTACCGAGGAAATCACGCCCCGGTTCGTGGCCGAGGCCTATGATCTGCTAAGACAGTCTATCATCCGCGTGGAGAAGGACGACGTCGAGATCGACGAGGGTGACGAGACTCCGGTGCAATCAGAAAAAACCACGCAGGATACCCAGGAACGCGCGTCGCCAGAGACGCACGAAAAACACAAGGTGGCCATCCCGTACGACAAATACGTCAAGATGATGAACCTGTTTGTGCGGAAAATAGGCGAAAAGGAGACGAGCCGCGAGTCGCAGGACGATTCCCAACCGGGCCAGGGGTACACTGCCGAGTTCTTAGTTGAATGGTATTTGCACCAGATCGAAGACGAGATCGAAAGCGAGGACCAGTACTGGCAGGAACGCAAGACGGCTCTCAAGGTGTTGAAGCGGCTGGTTAAGGACAAGATCCTGATGAGCGTGAATCCTGACCAGGGCGACCTGGAGATCCCGGAGGAGTTTGTGGTCCGCGAAGGCATGTCCAGGGCAGAAATCGAAAGACGCACCTTCGGCCTGGAAGAGTGGCAGCGCAAGAAAGAGGCCGAAAGAAGAGCCAACATGGTTTACATTCTACACCCGAACTGCGCAGTGCTGGACTTCTTCGACCAACAGGAACCAAAGGAGTAAGTTAAATACTATAATTTTGCTTTTTCCTGATTCTGGTTGACATGTTCGTACCACCATTGGATGCCAACGTTTCCTTTCTGCGGATAGTGTCTGTTTGCGCCCAGAATGCTGTCCCAGAGCAGGTCCAGAAGATACGTACGCTCGTCGCCGACGGTGCGGTACGCCAGACTGAGCGTTCTTTCCAGCCACGACTGGTATTCGTCGAAGGGAACCAGGGGCAGAATTCTGATCAGGAGAGACGTGAACGCTCCGTGGCGTGTTCTTGGTGGTTCCCGAGCATCTGGGAGCTCTTCGCTAGTGGCAACGAGACACCTGTTGTAGACGAGCAAAATCAGCTCCCGGTACAGCTCCGGATCGCACTCGTGCACAGCAGTGTCGGGGAACGTAATTTTGGCGAGTGTCTCGACTATAACGCCGACTTGGCTCAGCGATAGTCGGACCGGGAACTGGTCCAGGGACAGCGTAAGGTAGTCGATCAGTTGCGCGCCAACATGTTTGACGTTGTTCGTGTAGTCCACCAGTTGAGCCTCGTTGTATGTGTCGACACTGGTAAAGTATTTGACCATAACTGAATGCGCGCTCTCCAACACGGCCTGGTCGTGTGATTTGCCTATGAGATCTTGGACTATGGGGATAATGAAGTTGAATTTTATGCTGTCGGAGACCAAGTTGACGACGTTCTCAATGAACTGGAGATCGAAGAGCAGTTTCCCGCGCTCTGCGGCAGAGTTGTGGATTTCTTTGAATGCTATGCTGCTGGTCCAGCATTTGATGAGTGTCTCTGCCGTGGAAATGTCGTAGCTCGTGAGCGCGCTGAGACACGACGCGTAGACGAAATTGTAGCTCTCGAACCCGCCGGTGCCCATCCTGTCGACGACGAAGTTGAAGTTGAAGAGCGCAGTGAGAATTTTCCTACTCAGGGTGGGCAGAACGGCTCTGTTGAGAGAATGGTCGTTGATTTGGAAGAAACGGGCCATGACTCCTTCAAACATCATTACTTGTGCAAACAAGACCACTCTTAGTGTGCTCCATTGCGTTTCTGTTGGATTTGGCACGCTCAGCACGTTCTCGCTGAAAGTCTGGATCCGGTTCAAAATCAGATCCAGATCGTCCACCAGCAAAGCGACTTTTGGGTGGATCGACGTGAGCTTCGCGAACAGGAACGAGATCCGATTTAAGTGTCTGACAACGATCGGGGTGTCTGCTTCGCCCTTTAGTAAAAGCCGGCCATTGTCCAGACCGTACGGCGAGTTGAACGTGAGCTCTGTGAGGATTCTCAACATGTCAGATCTAACTCGCAAAATTCGCAAAAGCTGAGAGTCGGTAAGCTTATCCTGCACACATGACAGGGCAACAACGTTCAGACATAGAAGATCCTTTGAAAGCGGCCCGTCCATGCTCCGTACCAACGTGTTTGCCGCAATGTTCACAAATTTAGCGTCTATTTTCGCAATGAGCTTGAAATGCTCGGGGTACCTGTCGTAGTCGCTTCTTGAGTCAACAGAGAGCAGGCACCCAACAACCACGGGAATCACTTTCCACGCGCTCCCCGCATCAGCGGCAATCTTCTCCACGGCTCCAAACAGCGCGTTGTAGAACCGGTGGAAGGGCAGCGTTGGCTGGCTGACCTGGAACTTCTTGTCCATGATGTACTTGAAGAATTCGATAACGCGATAGTTGTCGTTGAACGACACCAGCTGGGCGTCGTTGAAGAAAAGTGGACATCGCAAAAAACAGAGCGTCAAAAGCTCGACGTTGTGCTCATTTTTCAGTTTTGGATAATAGTACGCCAGATATGAAAGGATCTTGTCTGGGGTAGTGGACGATTTGGGACTAAACAGCTCGTCAAACAGATAGTCCAGAGGGGTCGGGGTTGCAACGCCCCACGACTCTCCCGCATACTGCCATTGCAGGGCCAATTGGCGGCCCTGCCGGCCCAGTTTATTAAACCATGGCTGCATGGTGGGAACAAGAAATAGAGAAATTATTTCTTGATTTTAGGCTATTTTACGACGCGTCGGTAGTCTCTTAAATAGTATTTAGTATTTAATCTCATTTATTTTAATGTCCTCCTCGCTCCCCACAGGGTTTGTCCATCTGCCGATCAGCTCGGCGTTGACGTCGCTGTTCATTGCCGTTCCGCTTGCCGTGTCGATCTTTGAGTGGAAGCCTCTGTTTGTGCTGAGCTACGACCCGTTCGTTAGCAAATGGCACCAATACTGGCGTTTTGCCCTGTTCCAGATGCAGTTCCAGAACGAGTCGCAGGTCATCCTGTGCGTCACGCTGATGGTGCTCAGCCTGAAGAATCTGGAGCGCGTTTTTGGAAGCTTAAAGTTCTTGAGGATCGTCTTGTTTCTCTACATCTACAACGTTGTCGCCGTCGCAGTTCTCACGTGGACACTTTACACATTTATCGGCATTAACTTGTTTGTTCCCGCCGGCCCGTTCGGCATCCTGTTCGGACTGCTATATGCTCATTGGAAGTTCACGCCTGTGCTATACAAATTCGAGCTGAATTTCGGGGGCCTACTCAAACTGCGCGAGTCGAACGAGGACTTCAAGCTGGTGTTCACAAACGACTTCCTCACGTCGCTGGTGGCTCTGCAGCTGGCTTTGAGCGAGGGCCTCATCAACTCGGTGATCCCCAGCCTTTTGGGGTATTTCATCGGGTCGCTTTTCTTCAACGGGCTCCTGCCAGGCCTCAATTCCAGATTGAGAGTCGTGGAGCTCGTATACACCAAACTCGCCTCCAAAAGCCAGCAGCGCCCGCTCGATAGGCGCATTCGCGACATGGTCAACAACGCAGACGGCGCGGAAGACGAGGACTCGCCAGACTCGTCCGACGACAGAGAAGACACGCCGGTGCGAACGCTCGGCGCACAGATCCTCGACACGTTCAGGAGGTAGGCTCGGTCGCCTTCAGAGCCTTGCGCCGCTGCACGTCCCAGTTGTACACCCGCGCCGTGTTGACCTCCATTGTGGTGATGTTTGAGCGCAAATACTCCAGGTCTTCCAAGGTGACGGCCTTGTTATCGAGCGCGCCCTGGAGCCGTTTTTCCAGCATCTCAATAGCCTCGTCAATAGGATACTCCATCATGATATCTGCTCCGAGCCAGAGCGAGACAGAATCCAGCTCCTTCACGTTGATTTCTGCCGTAGAGTACACGGTATCGTTGAGCTCGTAGTTCACGTCAACGGTCTCTTCGTCGTGTTCCTTGCGATTCTTGAGAAACCTGCACATGTCCAGCGTCTTCTTAATGTCTGGGATCTTTGTGTTGAGGTTGTTGAGCGTGTTGCGCTTGTTCTCCTCCATGAACTGGTACTGCTGGAGTCTGACCTGTAGCTCTTTCAGAAACACCGAAACGTCGTCGTCGGTGCACGTTTTCGGGTCGATGAAGTCCTCGATCTTCTCTATGAACTTGGCCTGCGGAATTCCACGCGGATTGGTCTCGTCGGTCCTGTCGTTAGCGCAAGCCAGGCGTTGCTATACTCACTTTAAGCGATCCATGGCAATGCAGGGTGGTAAATCAAAGAAATATATGTTGTGCACAGCCAGCGTCTGTTTCTGGGCTTCACGTGACTGCGCAAAAATGGCCTTGCAACCCTCTTAAATTTTTTTCCAGCGAAAAACTTTCTTACCAACTTCACCATGGGTAGAGATCACACCTCCAAGCAGCACATCAGATCTGGCCACAGAAAGGCCCCAAAGTCGGAGAACGTTTACCTCAAGTCTTTGGTGAAACTTTACTCCTTCTTGGCTCGTAGGTATTGAACTTGACAATTTTGGTTTTGCACAAATCGCCGACTGCTGGACAGTCCATTTTGGATGAGCCAGAGACCCTTCGAGACGGTCTCTGCGGATTTTGCGAGTACTTTGTCGAGCGCGACAAGTGCGACTTTGAGCAGAATTGAAATAGTCATCCAGCCCGTTACTAACGAACTTTAGGCCGTACCGATGCTCCATTCAACAAGATCATCCTTAAGTCTCTGTACCTTTCCAAGATCAACAGACCACCGGTTTCTGTCGCCAGAATTGCCAGAGCTCTGAGACAGCCAGGCGCTTCCGACAAGATTGTTGTCGTTGTTGGAACCGTCACCGACGACTCCAGACTGCTTGAGTTCCCAAAGGCCACTGTTGCTGCCCTGAGATTCACTGCTGGCGCCAAGGCCACCATCTTGAAAAACGGCGGTGAGACCCTCACCCTCGACCAGTTGGCTCTTAGAGCTCCAACCGGCTCCAACACCTTGACCATCAGAGGTCCAAGAAACTCCAGAGAGGCCGTTAGACACTTCGGCTTCGGCCCACACAAGGGCAAGGCTCCAAGAATTCTGTCCAAGGGCAGAAAGTTCGAGAGAGCCAGAGGTAGAAGAAGATCTAGAGGTTTCAAGGTCTAAGGGTAATTACGTAGTGCAGAATAAGAGATCAAGACTAGAGAGTGTAGAGCAAGAGATAGTACGCACGGGTGAGCTCTGGGTCGCCGTCCCCTGCTGCGCTGCGCGCGCTGTGCCTGCTACATTTTTCGTCTGAAAAATGTACACCTCGCACCAACGTCACAGGGCATATTCATTAGAAAATTTTCTCAAACTCTAAACTTGATCATATACAACATGCCAGGTTACTCTGTCAGAGACGTCCCAGCACAGGACTTTATCAACGCATACGCCCAATTCTTGCAAAGACAAGGTAAGCTCGAGGTTCCAGGCTACGTCGAGTTGGTCAAGACCTCCGCCGGCAACGAGCTTCCACCACAAGAGGCCGACAAATGGTTCTACAAGAGAGCCGCTTCCGTGGCTAGACACATCTACCTGAGAAAGCAAGTTGGTGTTGGTGCTCTGAACAAGCTCTACGGAGGTGCCAAGAACAGAGGCACAAGACCAAGCAAGCACTACGATGCCTCTGGTTCCGTCAACAGAAAAGCTGTGCAAGCTCTTGAGAAGATTGGTGTTTTGGAGATCTCTCCAAAGGGTGGAAGAAGAATCTCTGACAACGGACAGAGAGACTTGGACCGTATTGCTGCCCAGACTTTGGAATCCCTTGAAGACGACGAATAGATAAGTGGTAATAACATATTGATAAGTTGAACATTACTTAAACTTATGGAAGTATCTATTGCGGAAGTCGTTCTGGAGTCCGCGCTCCTGCGACGTGATGGTGGTTCCCTTGTAGTCCGCGTCCCGTTTCGTGTAAACCAGCAGCCGCCGCGACCATTTGTTGAACTCCTGCACCAGGTTGTACACCAGCTGCAATTTTTCGTGCTGCGGAACCAGTGTAGGGATGTCCTGGTCGTTGGCCACGGGCATCCAGAAACACAGTCTGCCGTTCACCGGCAGTCGCTCGGCCGCAAATTGCAGCAGGTCGTCGAGCAGCAGGTCCAGCGAGTAGTTCTTTTTCGGCTGGATGAAATCGCGTCGGCGGTACGCGTACTCGCCGTCGATGACTATTTTTTCCTTCCCTTCGAATCGCTCTTCTCTGTTCGTTCCGCACACCTTGAGGCCCTCTCTGACGCCGTACGGCGGGTCACAGACAATCGAATCAAACACTAGATTTCTTCTGAGCGCGTTGTGGGTGAAGTCCATGCACAGAACGTCGCCAAACAGGGGGTCCGTGCCGTATTTTGCAAAATTGGTAGCAAGCCGCCGACCGGGCCCCTTGCCCTTGAGCGCCCGGAAGTCTATGTCTGTTCCGTACGTGAACGCTCCGTAGTGCGCGGCAGCGAGCACGAACGACCCGGTGCCCACGAACGGGTCGTAGATCAGCTGTCCGGCCCGCGCCTGCGCCAGGTTGCAACTCACCAGCGCCAGCTCGGCGTCGAACGTCGTGGTCCCGTAGTACGGCCGCTTGGCAATCTCGTAGCGCTCCAGAATGCCGCGCGTGCGCTCAGAAACCTCGACCTCGCGGCCAAAGTACATGTAGTCCGGCTGCGGAGCAGGCTCCTGGTTGACGATGCTGTAGGCCTCCAGAACGGCATATACCTGGTCCGGGTTTTTCATCTGTATTTTGCCCTCGAGCGCAAGGTAGCCAAACGAGTTGATCAGCGCCAGCTGCTGCTCGCGGCTCTTTCTGCTCCCCTGGTACGAAATGATATCGAATTTGAAGGACGACCGCTTGTATTTGGAGACGAGTGCCGCGCTCCGCTGTTGGACGTCGGCGTGCAGCTCGGCCAGCGTCGCTCCCTGGCCCCAGAGCTCGTAAATGGCTCGCGAAAGAACAGACCTGCGAACCAGCAGCGCGGCCTGCTCGTCGTTCTCGAGCTGCACCACGAAAAAAGGCGATTTTTCGCCCAGCCTGCTCAGGTCCACGCTGAACCCGTGCATCTCCGCCAGCGACTCCAGCTCTGCGCGCCGGAAGCCCGTGTGGGCCTGCGACATGTACACCAGATAGTCTTTCATGATGTTAAATTTTTCACCGGGCGGTGCAACCAATGTACAAGGCTGAGAAGAGGTAGCAGTAAAGCGACGCTAGAGCGACCAGAGAGCCTCTCACGCCCTCTGGCAGCCTCGGGCAGCCTCCGACAGACCAGCTGGCAAGCCAGCTGGCGGCACAAAATCTCTCCGAGCACCACAGCCGGCCGTCGAGAGCCGGTGAGCATGGAGCAGGCTGGAAACCAGGAAGAGTCGTTACTGGCGCCCGCCGGCTGGCCGTTCTCGGGTGCTTTCGTCGATCTGCCGTGCCCAGAGAGCGGCCAGCAGGCTCGCTAAACGCCTGGCGTGCTATTTCGCAACGGCGACTTCAGGGCTTCAGCTCTGTACCAGTTACCCTCCCCGCGAAAAATTAAAGGAGATTCAGCACTTTAACTTTGTCCAGAACATTATGACGAATTCCGACGACGAGGCTCTTTTCGACGACATCTACGACGACGACAAGGAGGAAGTGAAGCAGGAGCAGCAGGAGACGGCGCCAAAGACGGGCGACGCCGCGTCGGAGCCTGCAAACTCGGCCGCACAGGACGGTCCGTCTGGAGCAGGCGAACCGGGTCCAGCGGCCGCTGCGGCGCCGGCGCAAGCGCCAGCGCAGGCTTCGGCGCAGTTCCCGGTGATGCACGCGCCGCCGCCAATGACGATCGGCGGCCCAGGCCAGAGACAGTTCCAGGACACGGTGCGAGCCGACGTCCAGTCGAAGGACCAGGGCAAGATGTTCATTGGCGGCCTGAACTGGGAAACGACCGAGGAGAGCATGAAAAACTACTTCTCGCAGTTTGGCGACGTGATCGACCTGACTATCATGAAGGATAACGCGACAGGACGGTCGCGCGGATTTGGCTTTTTGACATTTGCTAGTTCAAGTAGTGTTGACGAGGTTTTAAAAAAAACACACGTTCTAGACGGCAAGCTTATCGACCCTAAAAGAGCCATCCCGAAAGAGGAGCAGGACAAGACAGGCAAGATTTTTGTCGGCGGAGTGGCTCCAGAGGTCACCGAGGCAGAGTTTACGGAATATTTCCAGCAGTTTGGTAACATTATTGACTCGCAACTGATGCTCGACAAGGACACCGGCCGGTCCCGAGGATACGGCTTTGTGACGTACGATTCCCCCGATGCCGTTGATAGAGTGACCCAGAATAAGTACGTGCTATTTCACGGTAAAAACATGGAAATCAAGCGTGCGGAGCCTCGTAACCAGCAGAAGGCCGGCTCTTCCTACTCCAACATCGGCCAGCCGCAGCAGACGTACACACAGATGGCCCAGATGCAGCAGTACTGGCAGCAGATGCAGCAGATGCAACAGTACTGGATGCAAATGCAGCAGGTTCAGCAGCAGGGCGGCGACGTTTCGCAGGCCATGCAGCAGATGATGCAGCAATACGGCCAGGCGATGCCTGGCGGCAACGAACAGCAGAACGGGGGCGACGACGCCAAGGACGCGGGCGACGAGGTGCCTAATCCGCAGGAACAGACCACCAATCTGCCCTCGGGGCCCCGCGGCGGCGTGAGACACGGCGGACGGCCACGCGGGCCTAAAGACTCGCGTGACTTCCGTGGCCGGGGCGACAGGGGCGACAGGGGCGAGAGGAGTGGAAGAAGCGGCGGTGGCGGCCATAAGGGCCGTAGCAGACGCGGATACCACCCTTACAACAGATAGTTTGGTCGCTCTGTATTTTCCTGAATAGCACAGCCAAGAAATGAATAAAAATATTTTTTTGCAAAATAAAATTATTTTTTAGCATGTCTGACGAGGAGTTTGATATTGCCAGCAACCTTGTGGCCGACGGCGTCGACAGCGACTCCGACCGCCAGGAGAGCGATGCTGAGGTGCAGGACGAGATCATGGCGAGCGATGCGGAGAGTTCGGACGAGGAACCGGCCGCAAAGAAGCCGAGGCTCGATCCGTCCACGTTCCCTAGTTTGGAGCTGTCTGACGACGAGGAGCAGGAAACGACGAGCTATTTTCTGAACCAGCCGCTCGCCAAGAAGGCCAAGAGCGGCACGTTTGCGTCGTTTGGCCTCTCGAAGTACATCCTCGCGAACCTGAGCAAAAAAGGGTACAAGCAGCCGACCCCCATTCAGAGAAAGACTATTCCCCTTATCATGTCCAACAGAGACGTGGTTGGAATGGCACGTACTGGGTCTGGTAAGACGGCGGCATTTCTGCTGCCGCTGATCGAAAAACTGAAGACGCACGTAGCCAAGATCGGTGTCAGGGCGATTGTTCTGGCGCCGTCGCGAGAGCTGGCTATGCAGACGTCCAAGCAGTTCAAGGAGTTCAGTCGCGGGTCGGACCTGCGGTCGCTGCTGCTGATTGGTGGAGACTCGATGGAGGACCAGTTCGGTGCCATGATGGCCAACCCGGACGTGATTATTGCCACGCCCGGCCGGTTCTTGCATCTCAAGACGGAAATGCGGCTTGACCTGCGCACAGTGGAGTACGTCGTGTACGACGAGGCGGATCGGCTGTTTGAGATGGGTTTTGCCGAGCAGCTGAACGAGCTGCTGGCGGCGCTGCCCGAGAAAAGACAGTCGATGCTGTTTTCTGCCACGCTGCCACGCAACCTCGTCGACTTTGCCAAAGCCGGACTGACGAACCCGGTGCTGGTGCGGCTGGACTCCGAGACAAAGATCTCGGACGACCTGCAGATGTGCTTCATCAGCACGAAGAAAAACGAGCGCGAGGCGAATCTGCTGCTGCTTTTGCAGGAGGTGATCAAGATGCCGGTGGCCACGCCGGAGGAGCTCAGACGGCTGGACGCGGCGAACCGGCTGGACGACGACGACTCGGAAGACGAGGACGACGGCAAGAAGAAGCAGAAGAAACGGCCCAGACGCGAGAAACTGCCGCGCGCGGGCGAGCTGCCGACACAACACTCGACGATCGTCTTTGTGCCGACCAAGCATCACGTGGAGTACGTCACGTTACTGCTCAAGGACGCCGGGTATGCTACCGCGTACATCTACGGGTCGCTGGACCAGCACGCACGGCGCCGACAGCTGCTGAATTTCCGTGCTGGGTTGTGTCCGATCCTGGTGGTGACCGACGTGGCCGCGAGAGGAATCGACATCCCCGTGCTGGCAAACGTGATCAACTACTCGTTCCCGTCGTCGTCCAAGATATTTGTGCACCGCGTGGGGCGGACGGCGAGAGCGGGCAACAGCGGGTGGGCGTACTCGATCGTGGGCGAGGCGGAGCTGCCGTACCTGCTGGACCTGGAGGTTTTCCTCGGGCGCAAGGTGCTTCTGACATCGATGCACGAGAAAAAAGTGCAGCTGCTCAGGGACAAGTACTCGGAGCAGCACGGCAGCACGGCCGGCTTTCAGGAGCCGAAGCTGTCGTACACGGAGCGGCTGGTGCTGGGGAGTGCGCCGCGGAAGCTGATCGGCGAGATGCAGGAGCTGTACGAGACGATCATGAAGCACAACTACGATATCCGGTCCCTGAAGACGGTGGCGGACAAGGGAGAGCAGCTGTATTTCCGGACGCGGAGCGGGGCCAGCGCTGAGTCGCTGCGCCGGGCGAAGGAGCTCGTGAACCTCGGCTGGGACGAGCAGAACCTGCTGTTCGGCAAGAACGAGGAGCTGGAAAAGGAGCAGTTTCTGGCTCGGCTGCAGAACCGGAAAAACAAGGAGACCGTTTTCGAGTTCGGCAAGCGCGACGACTCGCTCGTGGACCTCATGAACACGAGACGGCGCCAGATCGCGTCTGTGCAGCGCAAGGCCCAGGAAAGACGCGAGCTGCTGGAGCTGGAGCGTGTTTCTGGGCTGACGCACACTCTCGAGGACGAACTGTTCAAGGACGAGCGCGGGGTCGAGGTCGGGTACAGCGTGAACGAGGACGAGCTGCGGCGGACGTTTGAGGACGGCGACGTGGTGCTGGAGTCTTGCAGGCCAAAGAAGAAGTCGTTCAAAGACCCAAACTACTATATCTCGCACTATGCGCCGGCGTCGGCAATCCAGGAGCAGCAGCTCTCGCTGGACTCCGGGTTCACGGCGGAGGCGAACCGGGCCGCGTTCGACATCGACGCCGAGGACGAGAAAGTGGCTGTGCAGCGCCAGACGGCACGGGTGCTCTGGGACAAGAAGGCGGGCAAGTACAAAAAAGTGCAGGACGACAAAAAATACATCATTGGCGAGTCGGGCCAGAAAATCCCTGCGTCGTACCGGTCGGGCAAGTTTGACGAGTGGAAGGCGCAGCACAACGTCAACTTCAAGACCGGCGCGGCCGAGCAGAACAGGGGCTTTGACGTTGGGCTGTCCGGTAAAAGGCAGCGCGGCAGGTTTGTGCACACGAGGCAGGACGCTCCTAAGCTGCCCGATAAAAAGCGAGACAACTACAAGGAGCAGCTGGAGAAGGTTAAGAAGGCGGTGGAGTCGGGACGCCATGTCAAGGGCTGGAACGCTAATCAGGGCCGTGACGAGCTGCGCTCTGTGGAGCAGATCAGGAAGACCAGAGAGGTGAAGGAGAAGAGACGGGCCAAAAATGCCCGTCCGAGCCGCAAGAAGAAGAAATAGCCAGGACGTTAGCTGTCCGGTGGCTGCATGAGGGCGCGATGTGCCTCGGAGTAGTGATCGAAATTCAGAGCGGAATCCGAGAATGAGGAAAAAATCGGAGTATGGCGAGCCGCTTGCGAGAGGCGGGGTTACATCGCGGTGATGATTTGCAAGAGGGGTGTATACAGCGAGTGGGGGTAAAGATGGGGTAGAAAAGGGGTTGTCGGCGTTAGAGCGCTGTGTGTAGTAGATAGACTGCCAAATGCCGCACTTTGTTCGGGTTCCGTTTCAGCGGCGGTGAGCCGCTGTCACAGCCGTGGGTGCCATTACGGACCCGGTTTTTTACACGAAGCAGCGAATTTCGAGCTCGGAATCCGAAGGTCGGTGCGAGGCGTAAAGTGCCCGTTAGGGGGTGCAGATAATCAATTTCAGCCGGAGCAGGAGCATGTACGCCAATCATTTGCACATGAAATAATCTCTCCCCCTCTTTTGTCTTGAATACGGACTGCATGTATTTTTTGCCTGCCTTACATAGACAAAACAAATCCTGAAACCCATAGGGTATCACTTCTTTTCACCCACCCCCCAAAAAAAAAAATCTGACCCCAACTGATTACCCCTCTTCTTGTCTTTTACTATAAATACAAAGACGGTACGCACGTTCCCTCTCAGATTTACTTATGGGTTATCAGTTCGAGCCGCCAGTCGCTAATATGAAGTCCAGCCCAAGCCACTCCCCTTGTCGCTCAGACGGAAACTCGTCAGAGCCGCTCATACTAGACAAAAAATATTTTGACGACAAGCAGAGCATCAAGCCCTGGCTGCACTCCCAGCTGGTGTCCAAGGGCATCAATATCGTTATCGAGCGGTCGGACGATACCAAAATAGTGTTCAAGTGCAAAAATAGCCACAGTTTTGCTTCCAACGCACATTCCCCAAAGACGGCCAAGGTGTCCAAGCCGGCTACAAAAGACGTCGGAAAAAGACAGAAGAGTAACTGCTGTCCCTTCAGAATAAGAGCCAACTACTCGCTACGGGCGAAGAAGTGGTCCATCGTCGTGGTCAACGACCAGCACAACCATGCCCTTTATCCTTCGGGCTCCAGTCAGGCCGATTCGGACTCGAGACCGGATCTCGGCTCCAGTATCCAGAAACCTGCGCTCACGGCGCCTCTGATCGACAAGAGACGGACTTTTGGCCCTACGAACACGCTACTTATGGCCGCTCAGACTGCCAACACCCAGCTGCAGCCCATGCCCAAGTTCCAGTTACCCTTGCCCATAAATTTTGGACACATGCAGCAAACTCCAGTGCAGGCCGGATCCGACTCTTTGAGCACGTCGAAGTCATCATCCTCGTCCTCGTCGCCCAAACTGTCGTTTGCAGAGGGTGCCAATCCGGCGGTGAAGGACGCCAAAGCAGGCCGCAGCACGCCGCAGCAGCAGCAAAGGCTAAGCGTGCTGCACATCGAGATCAACAACCTGCTGCTCCACCTGAACACGTCTTCGGGTCTGTCGGATGCCAACAAGGAGGAGACCTATTTCAAGATCATCTCCACGCTCAAAGACACTCTCAAACAGCAAACTCCACACACCTACTCGCCAACATCCGGGACTAACAGTCCCTCGCACACACTTTCGCACAGCACCCTATTCAACTACACCACGAACAACCCTCAGGGGTCGTCGTCGGAGAAGATCATGCTTCCGTCGATATCCAACACTCTTCACGGATCGCTGCAGTCTATCAGGACGGCGAACGGAGCAGGCGCAGTGGGGGTCAACGCTGGTGGGTCCTACAATCAGTACTACTTATGAAGGCTAAATCGGCGGTAGCGCGGTGCCACGAGGCTCCGGACCGCTGAAGCTCGTGGGTACCAGGGGGTTTATAGAACCGGGAGCGATACATAATAGTTTAACAGTGTACTACAATATTGTGAGACATATCACGACATCTAATTTAGCAACAGATTATTATACAATACAGCGGCTCTGCTCTGTTCGCACAGCCGATCGTCTAACTGCGGAACACGTTTTTGCACTCCAAACAAACGTAGAACAGCACCATGCTCGTGTCTGCTCTTTTCTGCTGGGACTGGAAAAAGACGCACTCAGAGTTGTGGCATTTGGGACACGTTTTGTCCGAGCGGGGCAGCGTCGGGTCGGACCCAATGTCCTCGACCACGCCTGCGGTTTCTCCGATGTTGGTGATCAGCTCGTGTCTGTAGACTCTGGCGTTATCCGCAAGCTCAGAATACGGGCAATTTCGACACTGATACAGCAGTCTCTTGTTTTCCTTGTCCTCGCGCGGATACAACATGTTGTTGCTGGCGGGTTAGCGTACGCAGGACGGCGTTTTACTTACCATTCGGCACAGAATCTGAACGACATGGCAAAGAGAAATGAAAATTCGGCTCTTACATAAGCTTTTTGCAAAACCGGCGTGGGAATGTGCACGTCCTTTTTGCCGTGGTTTTTTCACCAAATTTTCACCAGCACTGATAATTTATCACCATGTCTGCAGTTCTAAGACAAACCACGAGAGCCGCAGTGAGACTCGGCAGAAGATCTGCAGCAGCCAACGCTGGCGCCCGTCTGGCCAGACACAACTCGACGGAGGCCAAGCCTGTGGACCCGAAAATCGCACAAATCGTGGACCAGATTTCGACGCTGACGCTGTTGGAGACGTCGTATCTGATCCAGGAGCTCAAGACCAAGCTCAACATCCCAGACATTGCATTCCCCGCCGCTGGGGCCGCTGCCCCAGCCCCTGCTGCCGCCGAGGCACAGGCCACGGAGGCCAAGGAGGAGGTGCAGGAGAAAACCATCTTCAACGTGAGACTCGAGTCGTTCGACGCCAAGGCCAAGCCGAAAATCATCAAGGAGGTCAAATCGCTGTTGGGGCTCTCTCTGGTCGAGTCGAAGAAATTCGTTGAGGGCGCACCAAAGGTGATCAAGGAGAACGTCAGCAAGGAAGACGCCGAGCAAATGAAAGCTACACTCGAAGGCCTGGGCGCCAAGATCGTCCTGGAGTGACCTGTATATAATAGAGAGCAAGAGTGCCTAGTATGGAGAGATTCTTAGTTATCTGTAAGGAGTCATCGGGTAGTACGCCTCGTAGAGGTGGCGCGGGGCGCGCATGCTGGCAAAGCGCATGTCGTTGGCGCGCGCGTGCGGCGGAGCGTGCACGCGGGCGTAGTATGGGTTCATGTCGTCGAACTCGTCCTGCGGCTGGTCCGACTGGTTCAGCAGCATCACAAACGAGATCAGCGAGTTCACGGTGTTCTGCATGCGCTCGAGCATCTCGATGCTGGTGGCGTGCGCCGTGCTGCACCGGAAAACACCGAAGCTGTTGGTGATCAGGCTCTCCAGCATTTTTTTGCGCACTAGACTGGTATTCTGGAACGCCCTGACTATCGCCAGCAGCTCGTCTTCCATCGCAAACAGCTCGTCCATTTCTTGGCGCTCGTCAGCCGCAGCTCCCTGGTACGCTGACAGCGGCGCAGCCCGCACAGTCTCCTTGGCTGCAAGGTCCAGCTGCTTCAGGTTCGACGTGATGCTCGTGCAAACGGAAGCCGCCGATTCAGGGTCGCCCCTGATGCTGCTGGACGAGCCGATTTCGGGCGAGCTGGCGTTCCCGCGCGACTTTCTTAGCGCCCTGCGGGATCTCGAACGGCCAAACATCTTGTTTCGGTATAACGCTGTCAGAATAAAGCCCCAGATTCTTGCCGCACAAACATTTTTGGGCCCGGTTCTGGTAGCTGCACAGCCTCAAAAGTCGACAAAATACTTGCCGTACGGGTCGTCGCCCACGGCGCCGTAGTCCAACTGCTCTTCCGGGTAGTGGTCGAAGAGAGACGTGTCGCCGACGCCGGCGGTGATTGGGGGCTCGTACGGCGTCTCGATGTCCTTCAGGAGCAGTTTCTCCCAGACAACCTCGCTGAACCACTGGTGGTTCCTGATGTCGGCCGGACCGTTCTGCAGGTTGCCGAGGCGGAGCGTCAGGTCCGCAGTGATCAGCCGAGACAGCAGATGGACCACGTCCGGGTGGAAGTGCGACGGATAGTGGATCTTGCCTGCGAGAATCTTTTCGTACGTCTTCATTGGCGTCTGGTCGTAGAACGGAGTGTAGCCGGCCAGCATCTCGAAGATCAGAATCCCCAGCGACCACCAGTCCACGCTCTTGTTGTACGGCTTGGTGGTTATCACCTCGGGCGCAATGTAGTCCGGAGTCCCGCACAGCGTCCACGTGACGGTCTCCACCTCCTTGGCAAACCCAAAATCGGTCAGCTTGATGTGGCCGTTTCTGTCTAGCAGAATGTTTTCCGGTTTGAGGTCCCGGTAGATGATGTTGTGCGAGTGGAGGTACTCGAGCGCCAGGGTCACCTCTGCGGCGTAGAATTTGGCCACCGGGTTGGGAAATCTCTGCGACTTGCGCAGCAGCGAGAACAGCTCTCCGCCCTCAATGTAGTCCATCACCATGAACAGGTTCTTGGCGTCCTGGAACGTGCCCCACATCCGGATCAGGAACGGGTGCTCCACGAGCTTGAGCATGCGTCTCTCGTCGTTCGTGTGTTCCACCTGCTTCATCCTGATGACCTGGGCCTTTTTCAGCACCTTTATGGCGTAGAACCGGTTGTTGTGGACCGACTTGACGAGATGCACGCGGCCAAACGAGCCCGTTCCCAGAGTTCGCATTATTATGAAGTCCTTGAGGGAGTATTTGCCTTTCGACACCGTGGACCGCTGCGGCAGCAGAGAAAGGCCCGCCACCCGCTTCAGATGCATGTAGTTTGGCTGGATGATGGCCTGGTACGACGGCATATGCTGCAGAATGGCCATCTGCTGCTGCTGCGCCTGCTGCGCAGCCAACTGCGACTCGTCCACTCCTCCCGCATGTTCCTGGTAAACGTTTTGCAGAATCTGTTGGTCTGGTTTCTCCATTGCGTTCGTCTCTTGTGTATCCACCGCGGTTTCCGGATGTCCAGCGCCTATATGTAGTTTCTGTAAAAGCCTGGAACGCATACACTGGTTGGCCGTAAAAGAGAGCAGACGAAATTGCTGAAAACAAAAAAGCCGTAGCTGGAGAACACTGGCCGCGAATTTGGCTACTGGCTGGCAAGCAGCAGGCCCAAAAGGGCGCGGTCGATGCTGTTTGGCCGTCTACTGGCCCGTTCGTGGTCACAGCTGTGCCGTGCCCGGGGGCGCTGCTACGATTGGGCTGCCCCCTAGCCTGAAAACTGCCTCCGTACTTCTTTACCCGGCCAAATTTTTCTGAAGGCAAATATATACCATGTCCAGAAGATACGACTCGAGAACCACCATCTTCTCGCCCGAGGGCAGGCTGTACCAGGTGGAGTATGCGCTGGAGGCAATTAACCACGCAGGAACGGCCATCGGCGTGATGGCCAAGGACGGCGTGGTTCTTGCGGCCGAGAGAAAGGTGACAAGCAAGCTGCTCGAGCAGGACACCAGCGCAGAGAAGATGTACGTGCTGAACGACAAGACGGTGTGTGCGGTGGCCGGAATGACCGCAGATGCCGGAATTTTGATCAACAGCATCAGATACTCGGCACAACAGTACCTCAAGACGTACGGCGAAGACATCCCCATCGAGACGCTTGTGAAGCGGATCTGCGACGTGAAACAGGGCTACACGCAGCACGGAGGCCTGCGGCCGTTCGGCGTGTCGTTTATTTTCGCAGGCCACGACGAGAGGTACGGGTTCCAGCTGTACACGAGCAATCCGTCTGGAAACTACTCTGGGTGGAAGGCCACGAGCATCGGAGCCAATAACACGAGCGCGCAGACGCTGCTGAAACAGGACTACAAAGACGGCATGACACTCGAAGAGGCGCAGAATCTCGCATTGAAGGTTCTGAGCAAGACCACCGACAGCAACAAGCTGACCAGCGAGAAGGTGGAGTTCTCGACCATTGGCCTGGACGCCGACGGCAAGCTGCAGCTCAGAATCTGGACTCCCGAGCAGATCGAGAAGCTGCTCAAGGAGAGCGGCGTGATGACCAGAGACGAGGAGGGGGAGGAAAGCTGAAGCCAGGCTGGGGAATTAGAGCTCGGTGAGAGAGCAGAGCTAGAGTAAATATATTTCCTAGTGTAAAATAAAATATTTCATATTAATTTAAGTGGCAAATACACTCCAACCATGTCTAGAATTGCAGACACTATTTCCAAGTTAGCAGTTCCTGTTGGTGTGGCCGTCGTGGCCGCACAGTACTCCTTGTACGACGTCAAGGGTAAGTGGCAATCCAGCGATATCAGCTAACATTCAGGCGGACAAAGAGCAGTCATTTTCGACAGGTTCTCGGGAGTCAAGCCGCAAGTTGTTGGCGAGGGACTGAACTTTGTCATTCCTTGGCTCCAGAGACCGATCATCTACGACGTCAGAACCAAGCCAAGAACCATCACGACCACCACGGGATCCAAGGACTTGCAGACCGTCTCGCTGACTCTGAGAGTCCTGCACCGTCCCGACGTGAAGAACCTGCCACAGATCTACCAGAACCTGGGACTGGACTATGATGAGCGTGTGCTGCCGTCGATTGGAAACGAGGTTCTCAAGAGCATTGTTGCCCAGTTCAACGCTGCAGAACTCATCACCATGAGAGAGACCGTGTCTTCCCGTATCAAGAGCGAACTCGAGCAGAGAGCCAAGGAGTTCCAGATCAAGCTCGAGGACGTCTCGATCACCCATATGACGTTTGGCCGCGAGTTCACGAAGGCTGTCGAGCAGAAGCAGATTGCGCAACAGGACGCCGAGAGAGCCACTTATCTCGTCGAGAAGGCCGAGCAGGAGAGACGTGCTGCCGTGATACGCGCCGAGGGAGAGGCCGAGGCGGCAGACAACGTCTCGAAGGCCCTGAACAAGGCGGGAGACGGCCTTTTGCTGATCAGAAGACTCGAGGCGTCCAAGGAGATAGCCCAGACTCTGAGCCAGTCTCCGAACGTCACGTACCTGCCTAACGGCTCGCAGAGCGGCGGTGAGTCTGCCTCCACCGGCCAGTCTTTGCTCTTGAACCTGGGCCGTTAGCTGGTCCTCTGATTATGTAAATAGACTATGACTCAGTAATTGTCGTAATTATCATTTCCACTTTATTAACTTTATAAATTAAAAGCCAAAGTCGAATGCAGACATGTCCGGTTCCTGGAACTCCGTAGGCGGCGGCGGCAGCACCTCCTTGCCCGTGGAGGGCTCGATGATCTCTTTCATCTCGGAGAACTCCCAGTGCTGCACCAGATGGAGCGACAGATAGTCGCACCCCATTTTCTGGTACATGAGCGCGGCAGCGAGCACAAAGTCGTATTCGGCCCGCACGTCGAGCGCCAGCGCCCCGCGCAAGTACTCCACGCGTTTTGTGCGCAGACTGTCGTACATCGCGAGCAGCACAGGGTCCTCGTAGTCCATCCTCTTCACGGGCAGCGCTGCCTCCTGCGACGCGTCGATTGCGTCGAACTTGGCCATGTCCTGGAGGATGTCGCGGACCGGCTTGATAAGCGCCTGGATGGCCAGCGCGCGGTCGCTGAGGATCCAGAAACACCAGCTCGCGGTCCACCGGTCGTTGTTTCGGAGCGCCTCCGGCAGCAGGTGTCTGAGCACGAGATCTTTCATGACCGGACCGTGGTCGCCTTTTTCGTAGCAGCGGGCCACGGCGACGGCGAGCCCCGGGTCTTTGAGCTTGCTGACGATCACGTTAACGCAGTCCTTGAGCGAGTCAGCCAGCAGGAAGAAGTACGCGGCGTCCACGTGGCGGTGTTTGCCCAGCAGCACAAAAGCGTTCTTTTTCGCTGCCGACCGCCAACGGTCCTGTTTGAAGTCGTTTCCCAGAAACTTGATCATCTTCTGCTGCTCCGGATGGCCTATGGCCGTCCGCCAGAGCCCCAGAAGCACGTTTTTCTTGTGCAGCGCAAGAAAATGCAAGGAACACACGCTCGGATCCTTGTACCGTCCCGAGTCCTGTGTCTTGAAGAACTCTGTTCTGGCAACAGTCTCGAGCACCTCTGCCAGGCGGGTGTGCTCCATCCAGTACGCAAGAGCGTATTTCGAGAACTCCGCTGCGCCAATCTGCACCGCGCTGTTTTCGCTGATGATGTCGAAGAGCAGGTCCTTATTTTCGCTGTGCAGCGCAAAGGTCACGTCGCGCATCGTGATACTGCGGAACTGCGCGCCCTTAGTTTCGTTGAGCTGGAACAGTTTCATGCCGAGGTAGAACCGCAGCCCGTTAGCGTCCAGCACAGTCGAGTATTTTTCTGCTATGTCTGCCATTATCTGGATAGTCGACGCGAGCGTGATCTGCTGGTGGCCCGTCAGAAACGGCAGCTTGTGCTTGGCCAGCCGCTCGACGATGGTGCTGCACGTCTGTCTCGTCACGGCGACGTCGTCGGCCCTGGACGCTCCCACGACGTCGTGCTCTGGGGTCTCGAACCCGAGCTTCGGGTCGATGCTCGACGCGAAGCCGAGCTCCAGCGCGCGCAGGGCATTCGCAAAATGCACCACCAGCTTCTCGATGCCGCCAAAGCCGCTGTAGAGCAGTGTCTGGATCAGAAATTGCGGGTGATACAGCGGCAACGGGCCGTTCAGCGCAGCACACAGCTGGAACACGTCGTTCGAGACGATCTCGAGCGTGCCCATGGCCCGCGCGGTGATGTAGTCGTGCTGCGGGTCCAGCGTCTTGTCGCTGATGTAGAACTGGTTTCCGGACCCGATCACAAGCAGCCCGTCTGCGAGCCACACAGAGTCGCCGATATGGTGCCGGGTTTGGTGCGAGATGTCCACTTTTTTGATCTTGGTGTAAGTGGGGGTGTCGTTCGTGTAGTCGTAGCGCAGCTGCGTGTACAGGAGCGAGTGCGAGTCGAACCCGATGGCCAGGATGCCCTGAGAGAACGCCGTGCACGTCCAATCGATGTCCCTGATTTTCTCGGCCTCAAACGTCTCCGAGTACTCCAGGGTGCCCAGCCGCGTGTCCCAGATGTGCAGCTGGTCGCGGTTTTCGTTGACGACGGCGAGCCGGTGGATCGACGAGCCGTTTAGAAACGTCGCGTTGGCTATCCCCGTGGAAAACGTCTCTTTCTGCTCCCACGTGATGCGGCCGTCCTGGACCCGCGTCGAGTACACGGCGACGTCGCCGTTCGCCTGGATCGTCGTGAGCACGTCGCGCTGCAGACTCGTCCCGATCGCAGCGTTCCAGCCGACCGGGTCGACGTACGACGCCATGTGGACGGCCTCCAGCTGGTCGACCGCGTACCGCTGTATGTTGCAGCGGCCATTTTCGAGCCGGAGCTCCCACGCAGCGCACCGCCCGTCCGCGTACACGGCCACCGCGTGCGCGACGTCGCTCTCGCGCTCGGGAACCAGGAAAAAGCAGCACAGTTTATCCTGCGGCTGGATTTTCAGAGACCCGGCCACGGGAGCCAGCTTGGCGATTTCCGCCTGGTACTGCGACTGCAGACGGCAGTCAAAGCAGACCAGCTCGTCCGCCAGGTACACGATCACGTACTCGCCGTGTTTCCAGAACGCAGCGTCGACGATCGGCGACGGTGTGATCAGCGTGGAGTTCTTGTTGAGCGTCTTGTGCGAGTCGGACAGCGGAATCGCCGTCCAGAGGCAGCTCTCGCCGAACCGCGTGGTGGAAAGGACGACGGAGCCGTCACCGGACCGGATCAGCTTGCGGATCGACTTGTTGTGGCCCGTCAGCTTGTGCTGGAGCTCGCCGATCGTCACCGTCGTCGAGCCCGAGACCGCAATCTCTGGCTCTTCAAACTGGAGCAGCGACTCAAACGTGAAGCCCACGTGACGGATCGAGTTTTTAAACAGATCGTGCACGATCAGCGACAGCCCGTAGCCACCCGAGGTCTGTGTGATCTGTAAGTCCTGCAAAAAAACGCTGCGGCAGTCCTGCGGTATGCAATTTTTCCCAAGCCGGATACAGGCCCTGGTCAGGCCGCCGTGAGGGTCGAGCACGGCATCCAGTTTCTTCACGCTGATTTCGCCCTCGCACTGGTGGAACGCATACATCTCAACACAGCCCTCTGGATTGAAAACCAGACACAGCTCGGGCCGCATTGCCAGCAGCTGCAGCAGCGAGCTCTGGCGACGGTGGTACATGTTGAGCGCCGACCCGCTGCGACTGCGCGACACGCCGTCGTCGCGGGGCGGTGCACTGCCGTTCCTCTGGTGTCCGCTCGCCTCCAGCAGCTCCAGCTGCTCAAGAACCTTCTCGACGCCAAGTGCAACCATCTGGCTGTCGATCACCGCCACAAAGCTGTTCGACGGGAGCTGCACCGCCCCTTCACTAGCCACCTTGAAGCCGCGGTCGAGATAGTACGTCGAGAACACCCTGAGCACAGAGTCATCGCCGTACACGTACAGCGTGCAATGCTCGGCGTGCGGGATGTCTGTGTTGCGGTGCGAGGTGTCCTTGATAATGCTGTTCGCCGGTTTCAGGTCCGTGACAGAGCCGGCCGAGGAGAGGTTGTTGCGCTGCGTGTTGCCGGATTTCCAGCGCAGAAGCGTCACGTAGGCCGGCAGCCGCGTGTAGTTGAGCTCGAACTCGGCCGACTCGATGCCGTACGCAACTCTGTGCCAGATCTTGACCAGTCTGTCGTAGTAGCCGACGCTGGCTATTGCTGTGGAGCGGGGCGAGAACTTGACCATGTAAACCGGATTGGGCTGCACCTTGGACCACAGCAGCCGGTGTCTGGCGGTGTGTGTTCCGTCCTTGGCCGAATAGTAGATCCGCCAGAGCGCCAGCGACCGCTCAGACCCGACGCACAGCTCGCAGCTCGTGAGCGAATTGTACTCCTCGGGAACGCCAAAAAGCTGTGCGCTCGAGAGCTCGTCGTCGTAGGTGTCGCACGAGTCGGACCACGAAAGACACGTGATGGCGGAATCGTCTCTGTCGTTCTCTATTTCTGTTTCGAGTCCCCATTCGATCTCCAGCTCAGAGACGTCCTTGCGGCCGCGGAAGTTGTAATTGTAGAAATTCGACACGGTCGGTGTGTATATCTGGATTTTCGAGCCAATTGCCAAAGCTATCT